TTTTTTGTGTAAACTCAAGCGAAAATCAGCTGCACACTTTCTTTTTCTGCCCATTTGCAGCAACCTGTTGGTCTGCCTTTTTTGGTATCTTCAACCTACCTTGGGTTATGGACAAGTCAGTCTCGAACTTGGTTTTTCAGTTGCTGTTTGGTCTACACTTGAATCCTAGAGCTACATTACTTTGGGTCAACGGTCTTAAAGCCCTTATTTATGAATTATGGTTCGAGCGCAATCAAAGGACCTTCGAAGGGCTAAAAAGGCATCCGTTGGAGTGTTTTCACATTGCCAAATTCAAAGCTTCTCAATGGTGTGCTCTTTCCAATCTTTTTGTCAATTACTCACCTAGCATGATTGATTCCAATTGGGATGCTTTTAGCTCTCCTTTGTAATTTTATTTATTTTGTTTCAACTTTATGTGCTTTGTATTCATTTTTTTGTAATTTTTATTTTTTTATTTTTTATCTTTCTCACTCCTTTGGAGTTTGTATCCTTGAACATTTTATGTTCTTTTTATTTATCAATGGAAAGTTCGTTTCCTGTAAAAAAAAAAGAGGGAGTGAGGTAGTATGGGGGAGTATTTCTTAGGTGTTCCAAACTGAACTGCTGGCGGAGAGGCATCAGATTCGTCAAATTACCTTATATTCTTTCTCATTGATGTATTTTTCTTATTGCCTAGCTGTTTCATACCAATTGGAGATTATATTCTACCTAGCTCCTATCATTAATTATTTCATTGTATGCCTCTTGTATACTCTTTCATTTTATCTCAATGAAAACTCGGTTTCTTACAAAAAGAAAATCATTAATTATTCATTCTTTTTCTTCCTTTTCCAGTTTGAGAAAGAGGATTGCCTGCTCAAGTTATCTTTACCAGAGTGCTGGATTGTGAGAAACTTTTCCTCCCATGTCTTTTTACTAATATTAGTTCATTATTCACCATAACTATGTTTATTTTTCAGGTCTCAGAACTTCATTCCCTAATAGACATGGTCACCACTAGCTATGATAAATTTTTCTTTGGAGATATTGGGAGGGATGTATATAACTTCTTCTGGGGTGATTTTGCAGATTGGTAAGTTTTGCTAGCTATGTTATAGGACCTTCCAAATGAAAACTAATATATGTTTAAAAACATAAACTAATAGCACTTCTTGGATTATGTTCGGGATATCGTTAGATTTAACACTTCTTTATGGGGCTCGGTTTCTAAGCCCTTTTGTAATTATTCGCTAGGCCTTATTCGTTTGGATTGGAGTGCTTTTCTGTAGGCGATCTCCTCTTTGTCCTCTTTCAGGGCTGTTTTTTTTGGATGCCCTTTTGTAGGCTTTTTTGTAGCTCTTGTATCTTTTTCATTATTCTCAATGAAAGTATTGTTTCTCATC